GAAGAAAGTAAAAGGAAATCATAGCTGGATGGTCAATGGCTTCTGTTGTGAGCCATGTCTGACAACCTCTTAAGCCACGGTTGCTGCATCTCCAGCACATCAATCAGAGAGCTGTAAAGGACTGAGAGGTGCTAGTCGTGTACGGTTCCTTTCGTACTACGGGAATGTGTCATGAGACGAACACCTCTGTTTTCAACTAGTCTTGTCGTCAGCAAATAATCAACAATGTTGAATTGTCTGGGACGACATTCGTAAGATATATTTGAGCCACCGGTGTTTTAAGATAGTAACACCAAGTAAATTATCGTCGTTGTGCCCGAACGTGCGTTGCCGAACCCTCTTATTACCAACATTGTGTTGGCACCGGATGTTAGCAATACGTCGAAGATAACGACAATCAAACACGGAGAGCCACTTAACATCATAGAGCATAGAACGAAACTGCTCTCAACTTCGTATTATATATCCGACCTTCTACATTCAGATTAACATCACAAGGGCTCTAAAGATGGTCCAAATTGGTATAGGCCTCTATGGCTTTCACTACATATGAATTAATCTAATCTTTCTCGCTACTCCTTGCATTTGCACAGCGACCGGAATACTAGAACTTTTGAACTACTGACTACTTGCTACCACGAGCGATTACAGCTCCGTAAAACAAATAGGCTTTTTTATCTCGAAGGCTCATAGCAAATCTCTCATCACCTTTAAAGTCGTTGAAGCGCACTCGAAGAAATATTCGTTCCACTCAACAATATATAAGTTTCCCTGTATCAGGCATGGTAGTAAGACAGGGTTCAAATAACCCCTGAATTAGTTATTGTAAAACTATTCAGGGTGAAACTCAACAAGTTGCTGTGCTACAGGAACGTGCAAATAACCATCCTAAAGTAATACGCATTAGCAGAGAAGTGGCAATCTATCTGAAGATTGATTGAGCTGCTATTAACTACCAAAAGCGTAGAGAGAATAGGTCCAATTTTGTATTCATTACGTCTACACTTGTTGACCAAGGACAAATGACTGAAGTAGAAACCAGAATGCAAGGGTTCCTCAATATTGAATGCTGAGAGGCTTTGTTTGTCTGAATAAATAACCCCACGCTCCACTGTGACTGCGCGAAGATCGAAATAAAGACCTATTCACTACTTGTCTGGTTTCTTTTATCAATAGCACGAGGGTTACCTTAGGGCACGAAATATATATATATATATATATATATATATATATATATATAGGTAATTAAACCGATCAGCACGTACGGTGTAATAAGAGTAGTGGATGAAAGTAGAGTGGAATGATAGCAGGATTGTATTAACGTCAGAATTAGACCTCCTAGTAGTTGGATCGGGTTTATATCGACACCGACACCTAAAATCACTACCAATCGCAATTAATTGAATTGACGCTGATCGTAGAATATCCGGTAGTTTTATCATAATGAAATAAATTCAGGACTGTATTGGACTAGTTTAATCTTCAATGTATTGAGATGAATTCATGCTGTCCATATCGTCACTTAGTCAGCTTCTCTCAAGCAATTTTACAACAATATAACGATGGAATATAATTAACAGACCGATAGAATTACAGGTAGTCAAACAAAGATACTGGAGGAATTCATGTGAGGCATTCTATTCGCTCACACAAACGAGCACAAGTTAAACAGTAGAACTGAAGTAATGCATTCGAGAGTCCTGTGCTAATTCACGTATCTTATTCTAAAATGAGTATACAATCATATGGACTTAATATATCTATATTAAATACCATATGCTCCCCATACGTTCGAGTGGCGATCAATTTAAAGACCATAGCTATGGTTAACTATCTGAATTGATATTAACGAGATCGGAGTTGAAGAAGCAAACGACAGGGTTCGTTTACCAGGGAAAAAACTTCCACGGTGCTGAATGCGTTTTAAGTAATGGAAATTAGTGCTTCGAATGATGTACTGGGATGAGGTACTCTGAGAAATTGCCAATAACAAATCATGCTTGTAGATGTACCATTTCTTGACCTGACCAGAGCGTTTGACTCGGTGGTACGCAATGTTGTACTGCCACGTTATCATATATGGGATTTGCAAACGCAGAACGTTCCTACCAAAAAATCATCAATTAGACCGATGGTTTTGCATCATGTTTGACAAGATGCCTTTAAGCTAGACAGGAGCGCTTTTTGAGTTGCCGCAGGAAGCGATCATAAGCCTCTTATTACTCATAATGCCAGTGCGTGACCTGTTTAGTTTCGTAATCGTTACCTATGCAAGTTCGTAAATGTGCGAGAGTCCATCAGACATGTGAAGGATTCAAAAAAGCTCTACAAAGATCTAGTTCAACGGGGGACGTATGCAAGAAAGAAAAGCTTAAAATTTGGGATTAATGGTCACAAATGACGTTCTTTTATACGCAAGAGAAACAATGGGTATCCTACGTCTTCTTTTAACCCTAAGTAAGTACTTTCTACAGAAAACCTGGATACCAGTGGCAACTACTAGGAGCCGAGCTAATTTCAGTGATATACTTCAGTTCATCAGAAGATAAATGAGCGTGCTGACAATCGGGTTGATCTTGATGCTACGGAAGAACAGTGTTATGTAGTAGACTACAAGGTTAAGAAACCCTCTGTCTGAGTAATAACGTTACTGAAAAGGACAATTTTCTACTGTCTACAGAGGGATTATCGGTAACCTGATCATGGCATCTAACACAATGAGTAGCCTACGTAGCTATGATAAATCAATCGTACTTGTAGCCCATCACGAAGTACTACTTCAAGAGTCACTCGTCAAAATCAGAATATTCTGGTGAGGAATCACGAGCAATGGAGGTCAGCTAGAAGGCTAAACACAACAAGTGTCGTTGGCATACACACAATCTGATAGCTTGCTGTCCATCAGCATCCGGTCGTCGTTTACTAATATATAAGGCCATGTAGTACAACATAGCAATAAGAAACGTTCCATGAAAATTATCGGTCGTCTTGCAAAAGAAAGGAATGGAGACGTAATTAAATATCGCAATACATTCTTAATTGTATAAGGAAATAAGACGTGAAAAAATCCGGTATATATGCATGCATATATAATGCGAAGAAAAATTTTGAAATAAGGATTTATTATTGTTTTACTAAAAACTCAATATACCTGTATGTAAACATATCACAAAAATGATTTTTTTTAATTTGACACGATAACATCAAACGTTGAGATTACAGTCAAATTGTTGCGGGATGCACAAGGTGAGACAAAATTAAAAATAAGACAATATCTCACATCCAGTGTTTTAGAAGTCTCATCCTTCTTTCAGAGATTGTCATTTTGAATCAATTGTCGGATACCAGACAGGTTTTGAAGTGATCTTTAATAATCATGGAGGTCATAGTAGTTGTGAGTTTTAATTCGTCCGTTTGTTCGGGAAAAATGTAAACGTATTTACGGTTCCCTTCTAGGTAAACGGCTTTAAGATGGTCGATACTGATGTTTCTCTAGTTTCGTCCGTATAGATGATATAGTACATAGCTTAGCGCTGCAATATTTTTAAGAATCCTTCGTATGCCGTTTCTATGGTTCACTGTAATGGATCGCGACATTTGAAAACGTGCGTACAAGTTGTAAGACGAACCAGACGATAACATCGGCCGACTGATATATGGTGTAAACAGGTTAAACTGAACGCACAGCATTTGTCATGGTGGTTGTGTGGGAGTTAGATAGCGATTCCTTGAAATCGACGAAGGATCCACGAATTTCCCGAATGGTCGAAGTGTCGTTCAGTAAACGAGCAGTTCAGGGACCATGTGCAAGGGTGATGCCCATGAGCTGTTTGATGGCCGGATGGTTCTTTGATCAATTACCTCTCTGATTCGTAACAACATGTTCGTACTGACCCATGTTGCAGATCAATGTTATTGAGGAATTGATCCAACCTATTTGTCGACTGGTTAGGTCTCTGTGTTTAAGAATAGATCTTTTCAGAATTTCATAAGGCCCCAAAACATCACTAGTAAATATGCTAGGTGTGACGTACCTGTTGAATTCGTGGTGATAGTGCCTTTACTACTGCAAAGAATCGTGCACAAGGACCGGTCACGCCGTGCTCGTAGAAGTCAGCCTCTGAGTAGCAGAATCAGACTTCCATGTTGTCAGGCCAGAATGGCATTAGCTGGAATGAGGGTTGCGTAGGAGTATTGATCTTAAGTAATTTAGGAGTCTGTTAGGCAATGACGAATATAAGGTATAGGAATGAACGAGGGGGAAATGTCCAATAATACGAAAAAATGCCGTAATATATAACATTTAGAATAAAGAGATGATATATGAAGTTTTGAAATAGGACGGAATCACAGTCAACGAAATGGTGTATCAGATCACACCGGGCTCATAACTAAAGATTACACAAGTATTTTGGAGTTTGACAACACCCTGACCAGTAAAAACTTCTGTAATCAAGACGTACACACCCAGTGAAATCAGAAGTCAGAAGCGATGGAGTCCGAAGATATACTTGATAAGCTATCAATATATCGACAAGTGACTGATCTAAACTGGCTAGCGGTTGCAGGGGAAGTTGATCACAGCGTTCCCACTCGTGATCTGGTGTGGATGCGTGACCGAGCGCCTTCAGCTAAGTGAGTCCATTGAAACTAATGTGGTCAGCGTCCAATGTCGAGGATTTGCAGAGCTATTTATTGTGAGGATTTATTTACCACTATAGACCATTTGAGGTATAAGACAACAGGTCTCGGGTTTTGGCGCGAAATTCACTCATCCGCTAAGTACAGTTTTGGCGTTGTAGCTAATGTCAGTTCGTGATGAAAACCCTAAATCTAATTCCTGACATAAACCATGAACTGCAAATCACAATTCTAATTCTTCACACTGGATTATGACTCTCATTTGGTCCTAATTATTAAATGGACATTCTCAGGGTTACTTTAGCGTCGCTCAAAGGTCGTCTATAAATTATAGTCTTACTGTTATATATATATATATATATATATATATATATATATATATCCAACCAGCAATTAGTGGCTATGGACTGGCTCCATATCATTTTGTTACTCAACCGCGAGGTTGAGATCTCATTGGCTTAGTCATTTCCGACTGTGATCAAAGAAAAAGGTTACTTCAACCACTGAATTCCTGGTGATATAAACCAACAGTTGAAGATGTTAAGTGATATGTCTCGGAGTTAATCACAATTAAGCCTGGAATGTATCTACATTGCTTATAACTGAAGCGCACTTTTAGTAGTATTGGTCTGGACATTTAATTTTCTGTTAGTCACGAACTCTTACTCATCTCCAGTTATCGTTTCATGTTTCTCAGCCAACAGTGATCACAAAGCATTTAGTGGACGTAAAAAATCGGCATGAACAGTTTTTACCACAATTTACCGAAAATTGTATGTAGATTTGATTACACATATATTAATGATTAGGAGTTGCATGCCCACCTTTCTGGGAGTATTAGTTCGGCGTTTTTGAAGCGTGAATCAATTACTAACCGTGATGTTCAGAACGTTAATCCAAGTTTTGATTTTGAAACATGGAACGGGGATATGAACAGGTAATTATGGAGTTTTACTTACCTTTAAAATTATGTATGTAGGTGTTTTGATGTTTTCCGAACAATCCACAAATTAATTGAAACACCAGAGATTTTGGAGAGAGTATGCATTTTTGATATAATAGTTTATTTACCCTTTGATAAACATGTCAGTCAGTCAGTTACAACGTAGGACCAGGTACATATATACAACGGTCCAAGTTGCCACACCTCATTAGCACAACAAAACAAACACCAGATTCACAGTAGTTTCTTCGATGGTATTAATATGTAAAGAATGATTGCATATAAGGATTTGATACAGGCAGAGTGAATTAGTTCATAGAAAGGGAGATATAAAGAAATTTTAATCTCACGGTTCAAGGCAGGACAGAGAGTTTATACACCTACGCCGTTGTGATCGGTTCTATCACACAGTCTCCAACCATTGGTTAAGATAGTCGCGCAGACCCCAACCAAGTAGTCTGCGTCTACCAACATGGCTCAGACCGGAAGTTAGTGACTTTATGGACTGATATCACGTTTTAGTCTGGCCGCCCCAGCTTTCTTTCATCCGTCTTCAACACTGGTTGTTCGATGGTAATATTTTTGTGGATGAAATTGTACTGGTGACTGTAGTGGAGTATATCAAGAGAGGCTTTTTGAGAGAGTGTCTAACTATATTGCCTTCTCATAGTTAATATGGGTTATTATATGACCGATGGATGTACTACACCTCTTAGCTCCGCTGATTTCCCTCAGTGTAGTCAGGTTATGGATCTTATTCTACATTAGCCTTCGATATATATATATATATATATATATATATTAGGTCTCGGGTTCACCCTCCCATCTTGACAAACCACTAGTACATATTCGTTTTTCTATATATCAAGAAGTAATCATTCATGTTATGGGAATGAAAGGAGTACCGATAATTTGTATACATTTTCAGCAATTGATGCACACCATTTTTTTACATCGCCCTCTTCATTTTCTTCCGTACTTGTTGTCAACGCTTAGACGGTTATTTCTAATGTTCTTATTTGTACAGAGTAAATGATCTTGCAATAAAATATCCCAATATCCGAATGTCAAGTTATTTCTTTCGTAGTTTTATTTTAATTGAGAAAAATTCTCGTTTAGTTCCTGAAGTTCATTTCATGTAATTGATTTTAATTTGACTGATAACTTAGATCTTTATAATGTGGAGTATAATCAAGGAGTTTGTGAAACATTATGATGCAGATGTATGATTTTTCACCGCGAAGAAAATGTACAGAAAAACATCTCAACAGGATTTGTATTTGAAGTACCACAAAATGACAGTAAAATAAAAAATATAATAAAATAATACATCAAAATTATCTATATGATTCTTCAGTTGAAATTGTTTCAGAGTGTAAAAGTCTTTTTCCTGAAAATTAGGTTAAATGGCATTAGTCAGGTTCTGTTCAAATATTAAGTTCTCTAGCCACCAAATTAATCTTTCCTAACATTAACTTTGTTTTTTTTTGCATTGTTTTTGTCTTCCTGACCCTTAAAAGCGTTTATTTGTACATGTTGTTGGTGTGACATGAATTTCCATATAAAAATATTTGGGTTTTACAATAATTATCATTTGTTTCACTTGCTACACGTCTACACTAAATTGTAGGCTACAACTTCCGTTATTGAAGAATTTCATCAAGAAAACGTCATTCTTTTGGAATTGAGGACTACGTTACGACCAATTCCAACTCATCGTTCTTATTTGAATGCGGTAATCAGAGGAATACAGAATGCACCGAGTGTACTTGATAATAAAATATATGTGACATTAATACTATCTATAGACAGATCTAAAAGTCTTGATGAAGCGTTACTCACTTTAGAGTTAGCAAAGGAATACTATTCTAATGGATTGGTATCAGGCATTGATCTCAGCGGGAATCCACTAGTAGGTTCATCTGTTTAAAAATTCCTAATGACTTAATTTTCATAATCTCATATTTGATTGTACTTCTACTAAATTGATCCATAACTCAACCCAACAATGTTGTATAATCACTTAGTCGGTTCTACTGTGCTTTGTTTCAGGGTATTTACTAGTTGTTCATATCACACCTGATTAATTGGAGTTACTTATAAAACAATCGCTAGTAATGTGTTTTTATTATTGTCTGATTGTAAAACTTAAATGAAAATAATAAAATTATAACACGTATCAAATGCTAAAAATTAAGGTATTATGTATATGATAGCTTAAAGAAAATTTAAATGCTTTATAAGAAATAGTGTGTTTGTCAGTAATAATAATAGTAGTGTTTCGAGATATTTTCCTACCAACCAATTCATTTTTGTGTGAAATCCGATCATTGATAATCTACTTATTGGACGTTTTGGTGTTAAGAATTTAAATGGAGTACTCGAAAGATAAAGTTACTAATAAGATCCGTCATAATACTCACCAGCAAGGTATATTTGAGTGCACCAATATCTTAGTGTTCAAACAAGTTATTCAAATAGAGCAGGAACAAAAAAAACCCCGACCGTTGTTGCTACCTTGACGTGGTGGTCGGGCTTGCCTATCGTGATGACCCAACCGAGCTATACTAGCTGGAACATTGTTCCTGTAGGTTCTACCATGCCAAGCAGGTCGACTGGAGAACGGTAAGACTATAAGCAGCAACTCAAGATCTGAGGGTGAAGTCGTACTGATGACTGTATAGGGGTGTGACAGAAGTAGGGTGTTTCCCTTAACAATCAGCATGGGCAGCGATACTGCTTTCTCACATGGGAGGAAGGGGTTAGAAAAGGTCATTCATTTGACCTCACCATATCGAAATAAAGAACCGTTTCGACTCACGCTTCGTGTATCTAGAAACCCTGATACTGCTTTTCAAGGTCTGGTTGGTGTAGGTATAGCACTGGGTCATAGGGCGGAACTAGCCCTCTTAGAGTGGATCCCAGTAGACAGTCGTTTGTGCGCTGTCCGACTAAACGGAACAGTAAGGATCCGAAAAGATAGGGACACTCGTCGTTGCCTCTTCGTCGTCTCTGCCTATTCTCCCACTGACTGCAGCTCAGATGATGTAAAAGATGAGTTTTACAGAAAGCTTTCGGACCTTCTCCGAAAAGCTAGGCGCTCGGATGTAGTAATAGTGGCCGGTGACTTTAATGCTCAAGTAGGTAAACTAAGCGAAAGGGAAAGACACCTAGGTGGATCTTATGGTGTCGTGGCTCAAAGAACAGATAATGGCGACCGTCTGTTGCAGCTATGCTCAGATAACCGCCTGTTCCTTGCAAATACTAACTTTAAGCATAAGGAAAAACATCTTTTAACATGGCGACCCCGAATTCGTCCCAACGTTGGACCCAAATAGATCACATCGCTATCAGCCACCGATGGAGGGGCTCGATAGAAGACTGTCGCTCATTCTGGAGCACATGCCTAGATTCAGATCATGCTCTAGTGCGAGCGCGTATTTGCTTGCGTCTTACTGGACGTAGGAAAGACGCTGCAAGGAAACCTCTTAGGGCCTACTTAATGATAGTCAAGCTAAGAGTATATTTCAGGAACAACTAGGAAAACAGTTAGGCAGCCATGTATGTGATGCCCACCCCGATGCAGCATGGAATGATATCCGAAAAGCTGTGGAAACAGCAGTGATATCTGCTAGTAAGGTAAACCAGAAGGTTAGGGAGCAACACTGGATCTCAGCAGCATCTATCTCACTGATAGATGCTCGGAAACTCATTCCACCTGGCTCTGAACATAATGAAGAGCGGAGTCAGCTTAAGCGCAAGCTGACAAGAAGTCTACGCAATGATCGCGAACAGTGGTGGGTAGCGAAAGCAAGAGAGATGGAAAAGGCAGCGGCAATAGGTAATAGCAGACAATTGTTCAGACTCGTTAAGGAAACCGGAATTAGGAACCCGACCGTTAGCGAAACAATCTCAGAGAAAGATGGACATATTATTCATTCTCAATCCAGGAGATTGGATCGATGGGCAGAACACTTTAGGGATCAGTTCAACTGGCCTTCAGCCACACTTCGGTTTCCCACGATCTCCAGTCAACCTGAATGGCAAGTTAATGTAGGTCCTCCGCTCTTTACGAAGTTGAAAAAGCCATAGGAAATCTGAAACGAGGGAGAGCAGCAGGCCCTGACAGGTTTACTCCTGAGATTTTTAAGGATGGTGGTCCAGTATTAGCAATGAGATTAACCGAGGTCTTAGGTAGAATTTGGGAACTGGACGTAATCCCATCTGACTGGTCTCAATCACTGATTGTGCCAGTCTATAAGAAAGGACAAAAGTCCTCTTGTGACAATCACAGAGGAATCAGTTTGACTAATATAGTGTCTAAAATATTAGCTTCAATAATACTTCGACGCCTAATCAAAGCTCGTGAAGAGCAGATTAGAGAAAACCAGGCCGGTTTTCGACCTGGACGTGGTTGTATAGATCAGATATTCACACTACGTCAGGTTCTAGAACACAGACACACATTCAGACGCCCCACAATGGTAGTATTTCTCGACCTTAAGGCGGCATTCGACTCTGTTGATCGTGAGGTTCTATGGCAGTGTTTGTCACTGAAAGGAGTACCAAAGAAGTACATTAACCTTATAAAGGCTCTCTACTCGAACACAACTGGTAGAGTGAGAGCTTATGGCGAACTGTCATCAGAATTGATTACCTCAAGTGGTGTTCGTCAGGGCTGTCCACTCTCCCCATTCTTGTTCAACTTTGTGGTCGACGTACTTTTAGAGATAACACTCTCCTCATCTAAATTTCCAGGGGTTGAACTTCTACCGGGAGGTTCACTTGTTGACTTAGAATATGCTGATGACATAGTTTTATTTGGTGAAGACGCTGACAAAATGCAGAGTCTTCTGACCACTCTAAGCAACAATGCAAGCATGTTCGGGATGCGATTCTCTCCCTCGAAATGCAAAATGTTGCTTCAGGATTGGGTTACATCGACACCCGAACTAGTGATAGGGAGTGAAGTAGTTGAGTGTGTCGACCGCTTCACTTATCTTGGAAGTCTCATCAGCCCTTGTGGTATGGTGTGTGACGAAATCTCAGCACGGATACAGAAGGCTCGACTAGCTTTTGCCAACTTGCGTCATTTATGGCGTAGGCGAGATATCCGTCTATCAACCAAAGGACGTGTTTACTGCGCAGCAGTTCGTTCCGTCCTACTTTATGGCAGTGAAACATGGCCGGTAAGAGTAGAGGATATTCGTAGGTTACTAGTATTTGATCATAGGTGTCTTCGAAATATTGCTCGTATATCATGGGACCATCGAGTAAGTAACACAGTTGTTAGGAAACGGGTACTAGGTAAGGATGGCAAATCAATTGATGAAGTAGTGAAACTTCATCAGTTGAGATGGCTGGGACACGTGTTACGTATGCCCAACCACCGACTGCCTCGACTTGAGATGTTTTGTGGTATAGGAGTAGGTTGGAAGAAAGCTAGGGGCGGCCAGACCAAAACATGGCACATGTCCATGAAGTCATTGACAAGTGGACTGAGTCATGTTGGTAAGTGTAGACAACCTGGTTGGGGACCGCGAGATGATAGCAACCGATGGTTAGAGACCCTGAATGACATGGTTCAAAATCGTTTGTAATGGCGCAGGTGCATTCACTATTTGAATTCTCCCGAATTTTAATCTTCTGGATTCTTCGTGTCCCTTTTTTTCTCTTTCCACATTTATTTCACTGAATTATACTCTTTGAATAACATCTTCAAATCCTAATGTTTCCTATTACTGCTTATACTCTTACTACCTCTACCACTACGGGATTTGAATCGACAACTGCATCTCTGTGCTAATGTGGTATGACAACCCGAACTGATGTACGTGCGTAAGAAGTTCTACGTTGTTTCTGACTGACTGACTAATGATTAATAAAAACGGTATAAAAAGGAGGAATTATAAAAGTTGGAGTATTTGTGAAATGAACTCATTGGGATATCACAAATAGTATATTTATTGTTAACTTTCTACCCTATGCCTAATTTATTTGAAACTATCAAGTTCAACCTTGGCATTGATACCTATTGGCCTATGGTCAGTAGTCACATTAAAATATTCACCATTGAAAATTAGGTAGCATGACGATAATTACTATTAAGTGAGCAATTAGTTTACACGATTATTTATGTGAGTAACGTCTTACAATGAATGTATGCCAACTAGTAACTTTGTCTATATTAATTTCCTACCCTGTGCAATATACTAATTACTTGTTAAGGTAATATGAGTTCGAAAACTTTATCCACAAGTTAGTAATCATGTATATAAACTGTCGAACTACAGATCCATTAGCTTACATCTGTAGACTGTTGTATTCTACATAGGTCCCACGTAAGATTGGTTATCTTGTTTTAAATACTGACATTTTTCTCTAAGAAATTCTACTTGATCCGTATATTTTATTAGGTCACTTTCATTTTAAGTCATCACTGTAGACTGTCTGGCTTAATAGTCTTAGTCCCTAATCCACTGGTCATATGATCGTATACGTTGTATGAACTTGTTTAATAGTCGTTTTATGTGTACCTAAACAGTTAATATACAAAACAACACATCGACAAAGAATTTATTGCTTCAAACTTCAGAAGCGTTATAATCTTGTTTTATTGTTATTTTTGGTGTTGACACTACATAACTGACTAGTTATATGTTACCAACGTTAAGGTAATAAACTTGCCATGCTTATTTCTTCCTGTTTATGAATAATTAATGCCATTGTAAAGTAAAACAATGTTGATGATTTATAATATGTGGGGATTAATACAGATTATTCTATGATAGATAATATGTAACGTATAAATGTAAACTAAACTTAAAAGTTGAAATTACTGTCAAGTTTTCATGTTCATCTCACGAATACTTTGTTGACCTTATACAAATTGAATAACTTCCATTCAAAAATGTTCAAAGGTTTGATTTATTTATTCTAAAGGTTTCTATTCACTTGGAAAAAACTGTTGTTTAATTCGATATACAAGACAACTGGCAATAATTTCAGCCTATGTTGATTTTTGTTTCAGGTAGGAAATTTATGTGATTTCGTTTCAGTTCTTAATACAGCTCGTTCGTACGGTTTAAAAACAACAGTACATATAGCTGAAACAGCTGATCAAAGTGAAGATTGGTGTAAATTTCTTAGACTTCATTTGCCAGATCGACTGGGGCACGGAATATTTTTGACCAATTCAGATGAGAATTCTGTTTTAGCAAGAGAAATTGTTTTGAAATCTCAAATACCTTTAGGTATAGTTCATTTTTATTGTTAATAAGCTTGTTGTCAAACAGTTCACTAACAAGAATATCTATCAAGTATACTTTGTAATTTTTTATTTTCCATTGTTGAATAGTCAGTATTAGTAAAGCTAATTATCGAAACTAAAGAGTAACTGAGTAGTTGGTGCGTTGGTTTAGTGGTCAATGCAACCGACTCCCAACTACATAGTTGTCGATTCTTATATCACTGGCTTTCACAAGAAATTTGTCACGTAAAGCCAAGTATATATAAAACATGTATTTGACACCTGAATCATCTCAACAATAACGGCTCCTAAACTTAGTCAAAAACTTCAACTCCTCAGGATCAATATGTAGAACTTAAAGCTCGGAGATGGGTATTGTTTTTTAAGTGTGATAGTTATGTAATTCAACTATTCCGAACATGCTATAGGGAAGTTTTTTAAAACTGAAGAAATTTTCCCGCCAAAGAAATAGTGACTTATTGGATATTAACACATCCAAACTACTGTAAACTATCATTCTAGAAACTACGAACTTATGAATTCTGTCTTATGTTATTTCATGTTCATGTTCATGTGTGGTAGCAGTCAAGGTGTTTATAATCTCTACTACGTTTTGCTACTTTGGTTTATGGATTAGTTATTAAATTGCATGTGAGCTTACGTAAAGTCTGACTATTTAGGGATCTCTAGCCAATCCAGTGTTGTAGTAGTGTTTCAGGTTTTTATCCTCCTTCAATTCATTTAGTATAGTGCTGTAATATCACTTGGCCTCACACAAGATGCACATTCAAACTCCAGTATATAAACCTATGCTTGGTTGCCGACTTGCATAGGATAATTAGTATTTGAGTTTAAATAGGGATCCGATGTTCGCATTCCATTCAGCTCAATACTATCCCGTTACTCAGTTGGTGTAGTCAGTATTCTGTCACATTGCTGATTGGTTGTTCTTCTACAGCTTTATCGGCAGGTATTTTAAATCCCCACTAAGTTTACGGTAGAGTTTAATAAAGTTACTATTTTGTGAAGGGCACCGAATCTTATTAGCATTTTCGAGACCAATATAAGTACCAAATTTGCATTGACTTAATCTTCGCTCACTCAAGTTAGTCGATTGCTTTGCAGCACATTCGTTTACAATGTTATCAAAAGACTGATAGAAAAAAAAATATATGTAATTTTCACGGTACTCAGTTAGTAGTCTTAAAGGAACACTATGTCAATATGATATAGATGATGTTACCATAAGTCACAAATGAACTTGTTTTCTCCCTAATTTCGTTGTAACAAATGTGTCATAACAGACTAATGATACTTGGGAAAAAAACAACTTATATTTATGTGAAAGTATAGATCGTATACACAACATTCCATTCTGTACTTGTTCGTACTTACGCATTTTTCATTTCATCTTTTAGCCAGAACTATTTTTGTAGCGCTCAATTCAATGTTTTTTATCATAGTAATAATAATAATAATATTTCGAGTTTATCAGTAAAATTAGATGTTTATATATTTTTCTGACATTCTGAATTGCCTAGCTAGAAATACAAGTAATAATGTTAATATGATATCAGAGAGCTCCGTTTAACTTTCACCGGGTATATTTCATAAAAATTTCATTTGTATTGGTTGTTCTATGGAATTCAGATTGTTTAAAAACCAATGATACTGTTAGAATAAATCTAGCTACTGAATTTTAACCTGTTGTATCACTATTTTTTAAATGGAGCATAAACGTTTTTGTTGAATAGGTACATCAATATTATAAAATAATCTGTCACTTTATACCTCATTCAAATAAAGTTTTTTTTATAAATGCAAATCTTTTAAAATAGAATTATGCTTGACATCAAATGTTAAGTCGAAAGCTATTGAAAACTATGAATCTCACCATCTAAACTATTGGATGGACAAGAAACATCCTATTTGCATTTGTGTAAGTTGGTTATACTTATTCTTATCCTATCGACTTTACATATTATCCTACGTACATACGATATGTATTGATTAAATAGTTTACTATCCACGGTTACCCTTACATCATGTTGTCACGAAGCATTTTTGAAGACACGATACTTTCCGGTTGATTGTATCACTGAAAAGTTCTCAAGTTAGTTGAGATGTTAAAGTGTAGATGCTTTGTGTTTGCATCTCTAAAAACATTACAGATTAAGTGGGAAAATTGATATAAGTTCCATCAGATTGAATTACCATATCCTTTGACAATTAGGTGTTGTTGAGTAATGAATTCTAAGTGATATCTGTATTTATCCAGTTATTGGTGGTTAGTACGATTTATTAAGTAAGAGCAAATATTTTTTATTCTAAGCCAACTTTTTATACTTCTCCAAAAGTGAATTATAATTAGTCGTGAACAGAAACAAGCAAATCTTACGGGTCAAGCTTATGGAGGGAAATATTTCAATGATCACTGTATATACATTAATTATTTTCTCCTAAGGATGTTGTTTACCAAAAATGGAAACTCAGAAAAGTATGGATTTAATGAGTCCAATTCAGTGTAAACTAGTTTCCAACTGGAATATATGCCTGTTTATCATGGTTGTTTAACTTCATTTATTCATAGTTGTGTTATGAACGGCATCACAGAACCAGTGTACTCGTTCAAGCAATTAGTCATTTGTTTTTTAAACCAAATTTGTTTTATAATTAGTTTTTATTCTTTAGAACCATATAGGCACAAAGTTTAACTTCTCATTCAGTCATTTTCGCTTTGTCTTGTAGATCATTAGCAATTGTATCCATACTTGAACTATTTTCTATCTAAAAGTTTCGTCTTATAAGACTGAGTGTTCAGTGTTATTTTACAGTGAAACACCTAAATTAAAAGTAAAATGTAGCTTGTTCAAACACTTTAATTTCTACCTACTGATGGTTTTTAATGACCTGCAACCTTATATGTGACTGTCTGCATGTTTTTAGATTATTACCCATTGTAAGGATGTTGCTATAGAAATTATTGTTAGTGGATGCATCCGTCTTCGATTTCCATTAGGTTTATTATTTTAAGCCAATAAATTTATTATTACACATCATATATGCCTCGCTAAGTCTAGTAACCCCGAGATATACTACTCGCTCTTACGGATTTTATCTTGTTATTTTAGTAAAATATATACATGGTTAACCTTGCAAAGCATCAAGATTACCTAAATATAATGACTTTTCTACCGCTACTCGCTTTGCATGAGTTTATGGATTCTCAGTGTATAATAAATTCATCATCATCCCAATAATTTTCATGAGTGGTTAGGAGCATAACCGACAGCATAAGTCTCGTCCCTTATTCGGAGCTTGTTAGATATATGCAAATAGTGAGTATCACTAAATAAACACATGTTTTTATGCATGGCTTTGAACCATATTTGTCTTGTAAGAGCTAAGGATACTGTTCAGCTACCTATACTGTATTAAATAGGGTGACGTTCGAACTAAAAACCCAATAGTGGTTGAAAGTAATATACTTTAATTACTAGATCAGCAGACTTAAATAGTGCGTGCTATCGGGTCTTAGCGAATATTTTCTTCACTATTCGAACTTAAAACATATAGTTTCAAACAATATCACAATCCGCATGTTTATAGAGTTACAGTATCCGTGTCTTGTTCGATGAATATAAAACGTCTGGATAGTGGCAATAGTTAGTCAATTAGTTTTCATAAGTTGACATTGAGAATGTTTGTTCTCTAATAGCATTTGCTGCTATATCGTTATAGTATGTTAATAATTGATGTATATGATCACAATTTCTGGGAGTTATTTCATAATTTACCGTTTTTATTTATTCTTATAGACGGATGATAAAGGCCTATTTAATTGTACGTTATCAGGTGAATTTCAACTGTCTGTTGAACGTTGTTGTTTGAATAATGAACAATTGTTTCAAATCTTAATGGACTCAGTGAATATGGCGTTTTGCACTGAAAACGTGAAAAAACAATTGTCTCATAAAATCAGAGAATATTTCAATAGTTTTATATTTGATAATTTAAACGAAAAATAATATTAACTTTGTAAAAATATTTTGTTATAAAAAGTAAATTTTGCTATTGGATTCATTTTTTTGAAGATTTTACCAATTTGAATCCAGGAAATGTTGAGCAACCTGTTATTTCCTATGTCATACGATCATATTGGTCTCTGAGAGATAGAGGGAGAATTTCATGCACATAAAGATAAGTTGACCTTAGGTTTTGGAGTAGAAGCTTCCTAGTGTAGTGAACAAGGATACGGGTGGTGACAATCGAATGTGTTTGGACATGAGATTACAGAGTCACTTGGCAAAATCTGAGAACCATACAGTAAATCACTTAATTTGCAAAATATCAGTCAATTGTCTCAAACTTGACTTTTTATTTTGCAAATATAAGTCCATCGTCTTAGATCTCATTGTTCCTGTATTTTCATACCAATTGCTTTCCGTTCCCGTTCTTTCCTTCTCGATCTCCTACTGAAATGCATTCTATTATTGACCACCGTTATATACTACTCATTTGGATATAAGTAGCTCACACCACACTAGCACAATTTCAGCTGACTTCAAACATGGGAAATGACATCTTTTCAGTTCATAAGATATGACCTAATTCCCTAACCTGTACAGAAATTGAAGACATTCAAGATAGCTAAAATTAGCTGCAATAACATGGCCCTCTTGTCATGATGAAGTATTTGAATTATATACATTGGATGTTTGTTCTTTCACATTGTCTGCCCCGAGAATGTTGGAATAAAACCAGTGGGTTTGTAGGTTGCTGCCGCTTAACTACTTTCACCCTCCTATCAAGTAGTACTGGTCACGTATCAAGTTACTATGATAGTCACTCTTACTGGTCACTTCAGAAATTGCGAGATGTGATTTCTTAAAAGGCTTTAGAGCACTCGGTTGCAGTAACTGGTGAAATATGTAGTCGATATGTGAGTTTTCAATCCTGACAGACAAATGATGGCGACCGGATCCTTTTCTCTTGTTTTAATACTCACTGGTTTAAGGCCATTACCAAAGTGAAATATATGTTACTCTGATGTTCTAGTTTGTCAAAGCAATCTATACAGTTAACACTAATTATATCGATATTGACCACTGTTTCAAAGGATACGTAGAATAGTTTATCATAACCATATCTCAGATTGTTTTTATATCCAGAGCTTTTTCCATGAAAGTAAGCATGAGTGAAACAAAATAAGGGAATTTCTGAGTAGTTCAGTCGGTCTAGATGTTGAGTAGCTTTCCACAATCTAGCTGGTGCATTAACTCTAAAATTATCACATGATTAATCTTATCTGTCTCTGAACTTCACTCAACGATTACATCACCCATCCCTAATGTTTCCTTGGTTCTAATACCAAATAACCTCTGACCTGTTCTTGCATATATATATATATATATATATATATATATATATATATATATATAGTTATTATTGATGACCTTTGTCATTTCGATTCTTTGCATTCACTTATGTCAATTGCATCTTACCTCAATTTAACATTCTAATACATATTTGGTTGTAAGCAGCTGATGAGGAACTACGGAATATAGTGAATTCATATTATTCTGCATCAATGTTCATTTCGCCCTTATTTGAATTCATAAAGGGAACCAATTGCATGAAACTCTATGACCGTTTTAACAACAACAAAAAACACGAGTTTCAAGATTTCAGCGTTTTTAAGATCAATATTTATTTGATACATTACTAGAACTTCTGTGAGTCCATAAGTGTTTACTTAGAAGAATTGTTGTGGTCATTAATTTACTTACATGTATTTGACATAGAATTTATGCAATGTGCATAACTTTAAGCTTTTATCTATGTCCAAAACATAAACACACTACCATTACTGAAAACTTATTAAATCACTCAAAGGTAGTTAACTTATAGTTATCAGTTTGACTAATCGAATGAGTAGGCTATGAGATTTCTTATAATAGGAATTGAGATGATAATTCACATGGTGAATGGACAAAATGAAGCAAGAAAAACATTTCACAAAAAATGATGAGTTCATTTTGTTTGTAAAACTTTTCTTTACATGTATACAGCTTGAAGTAAAATAATGCAACGTACAGGATAAATTAACTCATCTTAACAGATAAAGCATGTGGATGAGGTTATTCAACTAAGTTTAATCCGTGACGATAGCGTTCTTCAAGTATGATTAAAGCCGTGTTGTTTTTTGATGTCTTAAAACTTTAGAGCGCTAATACAAATACGATGGTGCGTGTAACTTGGTTATTGTAGATCGGAAGATTGTTACAGAGTTATATTACAATCATATCCCACAGCATGTCGAGTTGAGAATGGTGAATATTTCCTCCTGAGTGTGTCTTTAATTCTAGATAAATGGCAACCTGTAAATAAATGCTGCTCAATATGTGTCAAAGTAACCTTGGAGTGTAGATGATAAGATAATTCATTAAAATAAGTAGAATTAGGCGAACAATTTGGAAAGAATATCAAAACACGAAGAAGTTATGGTTTCCCAATTATTTTCAGATTTAGTCATCAGAAGTCTACGTTTGAATAATCATGATACTTCTATTATTTTAGGATGACTTCAAAAACGTTATGCAAACTAATATAAGTGAGAGTTTAATCAGTATTTTATAAAATAGACAAGTTTTACTTGGTACACAGTATTATTACCATTGTTAGTTTTTTTGTACCTGATCGAGCTTATCTCTAAACCAAAGATTTTCATCTTCATTTCAGTACTGATGAATCGATTGTCGAATAAATAATTAATCAGAAGGACTTTTGTGGATATTTAAATAATTTTAATAGTTCAATTCATGAATCAATTGAAACTAGACCGCCATGGGAAACCTGGAAGCACTGGACTTCGGCTTCGTCCTAGTATGGTACTCCTCAGCAGTGCGCACCTACGATCCCGCCTCGCGAGATTCCAACCCAGGACATATCGGTCTCGCGATCGAACGCTTAACTTATAGACCACTGAGCCGGCCGACATCCAACGGTGGTAATGTCTAACTTCAACTAATTCAAGAAATTGAGCCACCGTCCTCCATTGTCTTCAGTGAGTTACTATCTCACAAAAAACCTGGTTGAACTCTACTGGTCACTACTTCTCACTAGAACTCCAGGAAATACCTCTGGAATCCAGTCACTAGTGAGCATACTATGATTCTTATCAGGATGAGAGTTTGTGGAGATTTTAGTAACTTTATAGTTGAATCCACAAGCCAATTGAAGCTGTCTCATGACTTATAAATTCAACTATAAAATTTCCAATAAATTTGCAGTTAGATATTTTTTCGTGCAATTAAATTCAAATACATTGAGAATAAACATCTTATTCATGTAAATAAATGATACGGATCCAAGTCTGTTTAATCGTTAAGCCATCATCTTCTCTTTCACTACAAATATGAGAATGTTTATAAATGGACAAAAATGATTTATCACTAATTATGAATAGCTTTAATTTTGATAATATAAATCTGTTTTTTTTATTCCGTTTCAATTTAATTGATGAGTTATAACAAAAAGTAAACTTTCTTTAGATTTAAGCAAAATAGGTTGTATAATTTTGTATATTATTTAATCAACATAATTGTCAGTAAGCTGTTTTATAACAAACATAAAATGTATATACCAAACACTAAATATTATTGATAAGTATTAAATGAAGAGAAATAACCCACTAAATAGTTTTCTAAAGAATGTCAGTCTATGATTTAAAAAAAGTCTCATTCAATGTATATGAAGAATTTGTGCAAAATCAACCAAAACAAATATTCTTTTAAAATATCGGCCGTTGATAATTATAAGTGATCTATGATAATTATTATAGTTGATTAACGCTTGACTAAATGAAGTTGGCTCACATACCTTCTCCACTGAGCTTCGTTTCTCTTCGCTCTATTCCATTCGCTTCTCCTATATTTTGTCTAGATCAAAGATTTTATGAAATATATGTATTCGAAATTCATTCTTGTATTTGACTTATTTAATTCCGTTATATATATATATATATATAATATAACTTTGAAATATTAACCATCACTATTCTTCGTAAAAACAAACAAACTCTTGAATCAGTGTAAGGGTTTTGGAGATTGTTAAGTTTTGATTGAGATCATGAACCGATTGGTGTTAGATCACCATTGAAAACTCGGAAGCACTGAACGGCCGCTTTGTCCTATTGTGGGACTCCTCAGCAGTGCGCATCCATGATCCGGCTCGCGGGAGTCGAACCCAGGGCCTTCAGTCTCGCCCGCGAACACTTAACCTACTGGACCACTGAGTCGTTACCCAATGGTGTTAATGTCTAACCTCACCCAATCCACGAAGTTGCGAGACCATCTTCCATCTCCACAACGCCTACACTGATAATTACCATGTTCTCACTAGTGACTAACTTCGTGAGAAAATTTTCAGAGTTCTGGTGAGAAGCCGTGACCAGTGCAGCTAATCCGTGTCGGGTAGAAACAGGTATCTAATTCAGTACAATGGAAGGTGGTCCCACAATTTCGTGGATTGGTTGAGGTTAGACATTAACACCATTGAATGACGGCTCAGTGGTTCAGTAGGTTAAGTGTTCGCACGCGAGACTGAAGGCCCTTGGTTCGAATCCCGTGAGCCGTACTATGGATACGCACTACGGAGGAGTCCCACAATAGGACGAAACGGCCGTTCAGTGCTTCCGAGTTTTCAATGGTGATCTAACATCAATAGGTTCATGATCTCAATCAAAACTTCTGAATCTCAGACTGAAAATATAGAAAAAAAGATTTATCAGAAATAATCTTGAGAAAAATTTTGTTTTCAAATATCTTTTTACTAATGATCAATGAGATGAATAAATAGCTATTTATCTATTCTGTTAATTAAACCACTTTAATTTATTTTGAACATAATAATTCCATTCATCTCTTTAATTATATGCTTGTATATAGCTAAAATGAATAAATATCCCAACAATTATCATATATGTAATATTATGAATATCATTGAAATAGAAATTATTAATTAACTATTTGGAATATGTTACTTCCTCTTAGGTCGTAAATTTTGTTAAATTTTCACATACTTACTTACTTACTTGCTTATGCCAGTTACTCC